AATTTTTTGATAAAATAAGAGTATTTAACAAAAATTACATAGAAAATAAAAAAGTTTTAATTATTATTTATACACATTATTAAATTTCTATTTAAAATTTATATTTTAACAATTATAAAATTAAATTAAATTTATTAAAAATAAACAGAGAAATAGTAAATTTAATCCTTAATAATGTTATTAGAAAAAGTTTAATTGCACGGGGCTGATGTGCATCTTCCATAATAAAAACGTGTGGTTTCATTTTCAATTATGCCGCCCTTGAGCTTGAAAATCTCACAATAAAACAGTGCAAATTAAAACAAATTTTACGTGGACGAGTCATCCATCCATGCACCTTATGGAAAACGTGAAGATGGAAAACCCCAAAGAAGTAGTTGTACTTTGGCGAGAGAAACGAAAGATATTTTGGACAAATTACGCATGGTTATCGTTAATTGAGAGTGTTAGATGCACTCTAGCGGACTGCCGAGGCCGCATGGAAAGAGCGAATGTAGGACAAAAGGGCAGCAGCCGCCCCAAATTTTAAAAAAATGTCAAATATAATATATATTTTGTTTTTTTATAAAATTGTGTTTTTTAAATATTATAAGTTATGGAGATCATTTAAATATAAAAAATTAAGTTTTTTAAGTCACAAGTTAAAGAGACTTAAAAGAATAAATATTAATATTTAATTAATTATTTATTTAATTAAATTTATTCATCTAATAATGACTTTAAAATCAATATTAACTTTTATTTTTTATATAAATTTATAGTAAAAGAACCCTTAAGAAAAAATATTTAGATGTTAGGTAAAGGGATCATTTCTCTCTTGGTGGCTAATTTAGGTTTGAACAAATATAAAAAATAATTAAGATCTAACTATATTAATATCACTCATAAGTTTTTACATTAATTATATATAATTTTTTATATAATTCATATTTTATTACACTAATGGTTTTTTTTCATAAAAACTTATTAAACCAATAGCTGAATCTATTTTATTCATATTGATTGTATGTTTCAAATTAAAAATTAATTTAATATATATAATGTTACCCAAAAATCTTTTTATACTGTATTATTTAAAATAGTTAAATATATTTATTTAATTTAAACTTTAGAGTGGATATAAATAACATATATTAAATTAATGATTAATTTGAAAGTTAATATAAATTGTACATTATAAATTGATATATAACCTATAAAAAATTTTAGAATTTTACCCCTCATGAACTTCTAGTTCCGTCCCTGCGAGTGCATCAACATTAGGTTATTATTTGGTTTAGCACTAATTTTTAGGGTTTATATAAGGACAGAGATAAGAAATAATAATTACATAATTATTTTTATTTTAATTATAAATGTCACGTATTAATTTTTTTATTTGTTTTTTTAATCAAAATTAGAATTTATTTTTAATTTAAAATTTTACATCTTTTAAGAAAAAAATAATTATTAATTAATAATTATTTTTTATCATATACCTTAAGAATACAAAATAAACAATTTTTTTTTTTTTTTGTGAATCAATTAATGAGCAAGTGTTTGCATTTAAAAGTTTGCTAAGTATACCTAACATCCCTCTTAGTCTAACTGTTAATTTCATTTGCTTCGAGTTATAAGAATTTAAATGCCACATTTTAAAGGTGACATTATAAATGGGGATACCTAATATTGAAAAGGAACATAAAGCTCACCTGCTTTATGCCCCCTTAGAGTAATGAAAAATCTATTCACGCAACCTAATTTCCTTCAATTCTACCTTTTCCACCACTTTCGAAATTTGCTAGTTTACCCTTACCTGACCTTTGAAATTGCTCCCTTAAAGATTAGAAACTGTCAAAGAGTCAAATTGGCCTTTTTATCATTCCACTTTATAATTGATGTTCTAATTAATTTAGAGAACTAGATTACAGAGCCCATTAAGTTAATCTACTGGACTAGAAGATAACTGGTCCACTACCGCTTTCCCCTAAAGGGCTCATTAAAATTTTAAAAAAAATCTCAATCCTCAAAATTATTCCTTTTTTGGGCACGGTTGGGGTATCCAAACTAGTTTAGTGGTCTTGAAATTAATCCCTAAACAATCTTAAAAGACACAGTCTAGTGGCACTAAATTAAAAATTTTAATTTTAAAATTAACTTACAAAAAACATTTATTTATCTTGCATTCAATTTTTTTCAAAAATATTTTATTAAATCATTAGTTTTTTTTCTTAAATCATATAATAAAAAATAATATTTTTTATTATTTAATTTATCTTACTCATACATCATATAATTTGATTTTAATATTTTTTATTTTTATAAAAAAATTATCATTAAATTATTTTTATTAAACCACTAGTTATGCTTTTGTAATATAATATAAACTATAAATATTTTTATTTAAATAAGTGTGAAAATAAAAAAAATTATTTAAATTTTAATTATTATAATAAATAAATTTATTACTATAATAATAAATGGAAAAGGTGAGAGAAATAAATCAACGATTTCGGAGCACGGCTTCAAAATCTTTAAATAGAACATAGGAGTGCGCTACCAACCACAGTTACGGCCAGAAATTTGAAAAACCCTCTCTTACTTACTACGGCTTTACCTTACCTTAATCAGTCAACTACGTGTTACAGAGACGCCATTGTCGACCCCAACTCAAAGCTCTCTCGGTTTCAGATTGCTTTCAGGTTAGTTCCGTTTTCTCCTGAGATTCTGTAATATATTTTGCTTCTGTAACTATTAATAAACGAATAAGCCTTTCCGGGTTCCCTAGAATCCAACAGCAGCTTATCTGTTTTGTGTCTGCAGAGAGATTCGTTCTCATATTTCTTGGTTCTGTTTGTTTCCCAAGAAAGCAGGAGAAATCAAATACAACTTTCTTTGATTGTTTTCCCTTTTGTTTCTTGCTACCCAAAAGGAGAAAATTTTTTTCCCTTTCCTTCTCTGTTTATTGGGAGCATTTTGTCTGTCTCTTTCTGTAGTTTTTGTTTTTTTTCTTTTGGCAGTAATTTGCTATAAAGTTCTATTTCTTCTGTGTGTTCAGAATTTCAACTTTAATCAGGCAAATGCAAATGCTTGCATGAATTTTGGCATTTGGATTATTGAAATTAAGTGGAAAACTTAGGATTAAAGAGTAAAGGTGAAGGCTTTGATGGAATCTGGAAAAGGCATTGCAGATAAGATAGGAACAAAAGATTTAGTGCTTCAGATTTCAAGCCCAGAAGAAGCTTTTGTCACCAGTAAGGAGAGGAAAGATCCTAAAGCTTTTTCTTCATTCACTGATAGGAGCACTTACTCTTTTTCAATGAATTGTCAGTTGGAGTCTTCCCCCAACACTCTTGCGCTGGCACATGCCTCCCCATTTAGACGATCTCCCTCTCCTTCTAATGAAGTTTTCAGAGATGCTCCAGCAGCAAATAAGCCACCAAAAATTCCAAGGAGTTCACTGGCAAGGCCTGCATTTTTGAAGGCAAAATCGAGATTGATTGAGCCTGCTTATCCGAATGATGCTAAATTGATAGAGGAGAAGACCGCTCAGAACGGGAGTTCAAGCTCACCTTATAGGAGCCCACCTAACAACAAAGTCAGTACTCCTAGGGAGAATTTGAGATCAGCACCCATTACTCCTAAAACGCCTTTGATTGACTCACCAGGTGACGAGGAGGAAGATGATGAGGTCTACAAAACTGCTGATCTTAAAGTAAGTGCAAAATTGAGTAAGAAGTGGAAAATTTCCGCTATGATTGAGTGGATTGCATTTGTTTGCATTCTGGGGTGCCTTATTTCTAGTACAACTGTGCACAAGTTGCAAAACTGTGTGATTTGGGGTTTGCAATTGTGGAAATGGTGTGTGCTTGTAATGGTTATTTTCTGTGGTAGATTGTTGACTGAATGGATGATGAATGTTGTTGTTTTCTTGATTGAGAGGAACTTTCTGCTCAAAAAGAAGGTTTTGTATTTTGTTTTTGGACTGAAGAAGAGCGTTCGGGTTTTTGTGTGGTTGGGTTTGGTTCTTCTAGCATGGGGTTTGTTGTTTAATCATGGAGTTAAGAGATCAAAGACAACTACTCAGATTCTACATTATATAACAAGGGCTCTTGCTTCTTGTCTTATCGGTGCAGCTATATGGTTTGTGAAAACACTTTTAGTTAAGATATTAGCTTCTTCTTTCCAATGTACAAGATTCTTTGATAGGATTCAGGAATCAATCTTCCATCAGTATATACTACGGGTTCTCTCTGGGCTTCCATTGATGGAGATGACAGCAAATGTTGGGAGTACAACAAGCAGTGGCCGCCTGAGTTTCAAGAACTTGGAGAAGCAAAAAGATGGTAAAAAGGAGGAGGTGATTGATGTAGAGAAGCTAAAGAAAATGACACAAGAGAAAGTGTCTGCTTGGACCATGAAAGGTTTAATGAATGTGATAAGTGGTTCAGGGTTGTCTACCATTTCAAATGAACTTGAGGATGTTGCTGATGAGGAGGATGAGCAAAAGGATAAGGAAATCACAAGTGAATGGGAAGCAAAGGCTGCTGCTTACAGGATTTTCAGGAACGTAGCCAAAGCTGGTAGCAAGTGAGAATATCTAGCATTTTAGAGTTACTGAATTTATTTGATTTGTCTTTTCTGGAATTATCTCACTATTATCTCTATTAATGGACTAGGTATATCGAAGAGGAGGATCTTTTGAGGTTCTTGAAAAAGCAGGAAGTTGACATTTTGCTTCCAATGTTTGAAGGCACAGCAGGAACCGGACAGATCAAGAGAAAAGCATTAAAGAATTGGCTGGCAAGTCCTTTTTTGCTTATATTAATCTTCGTTGCATGATCTTTTGCTGGTTTTTTTTTTTTTTTAAACAAAACTCTTTTTCTATTCTAACTCAAGTTTTTTTCACAATCACCTTCACTACCATTTAACATTCTAAGGACTATTCATGCAAATACAGATCATGTTGATAAGTGCTACTCTGTACAAGAATCAGTATGAAAATTAAATACCAACACGACTTTTATCTCTATTCTCTGTAGAAAATTGTAAGCTATGACATTTTTTTGGGCCAATGAGCTATGACATTAAGTTATTGAAAACCAGCATAGGAACAGGGACCTAACTAATACAATTTTCTTTATGTCCACTCTTGTGACTGCATTGTTGCAGGTCAATGTTTACCTTGAACGCAAATCTCTTGCACACTCCTTAAATGATACCAAAACAGCCATAGAAGAGCTGAACAAGCTTGCTTCAGGGTTTGTGATGATTGTGATCATCATTATCTGGTTGCTTCTAATGGGCTTTTTGACGACCCAAGTACTTCTCTTCATTTCATCTCAGCTTTTGCTTGTGGTATTCATGTTTGGTAATTCTGCCAAGACAGTCTTTGAAGCCATCATATTTGTATTTGTGATGCACCCATTCGATGTAGGTGATCGCTGTGTCATTGATGGAGTACAGGTGAATCCCTGATCCTAGAACATATATGGTTATATAATATTAAGATCACCTAGCCTAACATATTCTTGTCCTACAGTTGATTGTTGAAGAGATGAATATTTTGACAACAATCTTTTTGAGATATGATAATGAGAAAATATTCTACCCAAATTCAGTTTTGGCTACCAAACCCATCAGCAATTTCTACAGGAGTCCAGAGATGAGTGATTCTGTGGAGTTTTCTGTTCATGTTTCCACATCGGTAGAGCAAATTGGAAATCTGAAAGCTAAAATAAAAGAGTATGTCATCTTTCTTGTTGCTTGCTTATGTGAGAATCCTTACATTATGTCTGTTTATCTCATTCTTGGAATCTTTCCGTTGAAGATGAGTGTTAAATTTAGTTTTTGCAGTATTCTTGTATCCATTTCACATCACATTCAAGTTCAGAAGATATTGGTTATAAACTTATAATCGTTCAATTGTTTAGATAACTTTAATATCAAATTGCAGGTACCTGGAGAGCAAACCTGAGCATTGGCGTCCAGGTCACAATGTAGTGGTTAAGGACATTGAAGATTTGAACAAAATGAAAATGGCCCTCTACGTTACTCATACAATAAACTTTCAGAACTATGGTGATAAGAACAGCCGAAGATCAGAACTTGTCTTAGAGCTGAAGAAAATTTTTGAATCTCTTGGTATTAAATACCGTCTTCTGCCTCAAGAAGTTCAAGTCAGCTATGTTGGATCAGCAGCTGCCACATTTCCACCACCTGCTCGATGATAGGCTCCCCCTTCTTCCACTTCCAAGTACGTTGCTTTATCGTTGTTTTTATAAGCAGTCTCTCATTCAGTTTCATTGTTTATCTCATTTTCTATGGAAATGTCTCGTGTTAAATGTTTTTTCTACACTGTTGACAACAGGTTCAATGGAAGCAGGGCAATGGGAAGCAGTTTGCAAGAATAGGGTGACCTGAAATTTTCTGTAATTTTTCTCAAGTAATTTGATGAATTCTAGCTTACAATCATATGAAAAAATAGCGCAAGTAAAGGTCAATGCCCTGAAAAATAAATGTTAAAATGAAGATGTGAAGTAAAATAAAGAAAATCTTTTTCCCAGTGGGACAGAAACATGTATGTGTACTTTTTTGTAATTGATTACCTAAGGAATGTCATTCGAAGTTTTGAGGGTGAGTTTCCTTCTTCTTCTTCAGATTTTCTTCTTTTCAATTCCTTTGGCCCAAAAAAAGTCCGAAATTAAAGTTTGGCCCACTAGCTTTTAAAAAATTTTTAAAAAAAACCCCGAAAATTCTGTCGCCAAATTTCTATCTTTGATGGTTATTGGCCAAATAAGATAACCTTATCCACCAGTACCAAAACGAGAAGCTGCCACGTAGGACAGACAATTTACCCTCAATATCTCCATTTTCCACCTCTCATCATACTCTTTTTCCTCCACTCATCTCCCCTCAAAAACATTCACAACCAACACCCATTTTCTTCACAGAAAGCAGCTGTTGGGTGTGGAGGAGAGAGGGGAGCAGAGAAGGCAGAAATGGCATCCACTTCAGCTGTTTCAATGGCTATGCCACTAACTCATTCCAGCCAGAGGAGGGCTCTGAGCTCTGACGCCTTCTTCAAGCCATTGCCACTTAAGCCGTCCAAGGCGGCAACCACAACGGCAAGATCCGCCCAGAGGCTTGAAGTCAAGGCATCTTCGATCAAGGAGAAGGCCATGACTGGGCTGACAGCTGCTGCACTGACGGCTTCCATGGTGATCCCTGAGGTGGCTCAGGCGGCGGAGTCTGGATTTTCTCCGTCACTCAAGAACTTTTTGCTCAGCATTGTGGCTGGCGGCGTTGTGCTCGTTGTCATTGTTGGGGCAGTGATTGGCGTCGCCAACTTTGACCCCGTTAAGCGGAGCTGATCTTTTTATGGATTCTAAGAATGTTATGAATTTTTTGTACCTTTTCTTTTTATTATGTACCTGTTTCATGTTCTGAGAAATGAATTCCGCTTTCTTTGTGCTATGCAATACTAAGATCATAGAAGCAAATTTTGACCAAAATCCTATGAATCCTGAATTACAACTGGTGGGCACTCAATAACCTTAACATGAAAATTACTCAACAGATAAATTCTGCCTAGAAAATGAAATTCCAAAAAGTATGCAATTTCCTGAGGTAGTTAATATTTTTTTCTCAATCAGGAATCAAATGAAACAATCATATTGAAATATTGCCTACTAAGATGATTATGATATATAGAAGTAATATCATTTACTTCAATTAAGAAGCATTCCAAAGCAACAAAAAAAGTGCAATAAAATAAATTTCTATAGATCAAGAGTGATGCAGAATTGCAAATGATGATACCTTTCTGGCAAAGCCTGGAAAAGGTTAGTCATTCTATATTCAATCATGTACCAAATATTGCTAATCTACCTAGTAGAATCAAGGGTATAGCATCATCTACTTAGGCTCAGAGTTTCCTTTTCATTCGTAAAAATTTTGAAATGGAATCAAGCAGGTATCTGCTTTCTGAAGAATAGTTCACCTTGTCTGCCTTAATAATGGTGCTCTTCACTCTCTGTTCATCACCATACATTTCCTCTTTGATTTTAAGCCTGAACAGATATTGGTGAAACAGTCTGCTCCGAATGATTTCTCCAAATCTTATATCATCCTGTGATTCATATTTCAACAAGTACAATTCCTTGGCTGAACAGCCCATGATCTCCTCCCCGGATTCCTGGAAAGCTGTTACCCAAGTCAGTCCAGTTTGGTCTTGAATCTGGACTTGGAGAAGATACCTGTAATCACATTCCTCAAATTCTTGATTGCACCGGTCACATAGCCATCCTGTATTACCTGATGGCGTCACTTTCTTATTGCACTGTTTATCACCAATCATCAGTGGGCAAGCTGTGTAACAAAACGTATCTGTTTTAATGAAAACTACAGTTCCCCTCACTGTGACCCAGTCAGGCTTACTTGATCTTCCCAGACCTTCATCCTTGATCTGAGACACAGTTTTCCGTATCTCATTTTGTTTTCCACCAGGCATAATTTCTTTAGAAATAGAAACAGAAGCAGCATTCCTTCCCCCTCGATCAAACCACTCTCTCAAGCCATGAGCCTCCTGAAAATCTGGATTTATGAAAAGCTGGGTGGAACAGATAGTCCCTACGGACTTTCCACTGAAATCGTTGACCTTTCCAGCTTTGACAGCCAAAACTGGATATGACCCAGAATCAAGCATCTCTTGAAGCAATTGACCTTCCTTATTACAGAACTCACCCCAAAGGGTAAGCTCAACACTCTTTCCAGAAGAGTCTTTCAGATTCAGAATTCTTCTCTGAGTTTCCATACCATTCTTCCTCATGATAGGAACTGAAGGGTTCACAGTTATCACAATACCAATAACATCAAGTACGGTATTGTTTTCAACATTCTCAATTTCACTGATTGGTCTGAAAGAGAACTGCTGTCTTGGTATGGAACCATCTTCATCAGGGCAAAGCTCCACGGTTGAATTTGATTCCAAGAATATTTCCCACTCATTCTTCAGATGGTTGAAATTCTTTTGTGCAGGTTTCAAGCTACCCTTTGAAATCAAATAGACCTTGCCAACCTCAATAACATCATAGAAGCGGTCAACAACAGCATTGAAGCAGGTCACCCTTATTTCCCCTCCATCAGAGTCAAGGAGATCAAATGAGAAGACCTTCCCATCTCCCCTGGCATTATTGTAGCGACGGAGATCTCCTTTGGAAGTCACTCTAGCCTTGATAGCCCACCGTCCTTGATAGGGGTTCAAAGCAGCAATAGGAATGATTCTTGCCGGTGCCTCATTCTTCATTATTGGGCCATGCCTTTTGTAATTTGGGGTTGGTTGATATGGAGGTTGAATGGTTGGTCGGAAACTCTGCTGGTTATCAACAGGAACTTGGACACTAGAATTATTATTGCTAACCCTCACTGACTGCTCCAATTTGCTATTTGGCAATGTCCTTAGAGTAGCTGAATCAGAATCTGAAAGCATTTTTGGATTGCCAATCATTTCACATTCTGGGATTATAGTTTGCATGTTCAGTACAACAATAATCCTGCAAACCGGATGAAACAAAGATTAACTCAAGACTTATAAAAACGAATATGTCATAAACACCCAATCAAAAGAGCAAGGATACTTTCTCTAATATGTCTGTTGCTATCAACCTTTCCATAAACAAAGTTGGTCAGAGGTTCTTATGGTACAGCATTCAAATGCTTACCTAGATGCATGTAAGGTACCATCATTTTCCTCTACTTAAGTAATTACACTAATACTGACAGCAATCCAAGAGAAAGAATCGGCACAACTTCACGTCAGTTATCACAAATTGCAATAGCTAAACATTAAAGACGACAGGACAATGAAAATCTTCTACAGATCTACCCCCTCATTACCTTCCATTGCTTAACTTGTGCAGGTTTAAATACAGTTTGTCTGCTTTAAAATTGAAAGTTCCAGCAACTCAGATTTTAACAAACATATCAATCTACCAATTCTAAAATTGTTCTTTCGCACATATTGAATGTTTTAAATTACAGGCAGATAGTTATCACCTCTCACATTTGATTCTGGAGAATGTGCCTAGTAACACTCAATCGACACAACAACATAATAATATCATAATGAAGCTGACTGCAACAAAAAGCTTAATCAAGCAGTTAAGCACTAGAGGGAGAAGCTATGCTTACCTCCGATTCTGAACTGTGCTGCAAATGTAATCGATCAACTGGACGACCGATCCTTTCTTGACTTGGCCAGTCCTGACTCGATCGTTGAGTTGAGTAGCGAGCATCGCTTGCTGAGTCGACTCGGAGTCAGAGAGGAGGAGGCGGTACCTCTGCTGATTACTCCCAATCAGCTTGATATCCATAACCTGAACCAGCGGCTTCGAGTTCACATCGCCGCCATTGATTGCCGCAATCGCGTTGCGCGTGAGGTTAACCGGCATCGTGTCGCACTCCGATCGATCTCAAAAATCAAGAAACCCTAACCGAGAAATGAAGAAGAAGACAAATTAGGTGGATAAAACCGTATGGATGGAAATGAAATTTTGAATTTCGTCGATGCAGATGTGTAATTGCGAAATGGAGGGTTATGGTGGCGGGGACTTGGGGAGCAAGCATAACCGACTCAGGACTCCGGACTCCGGAGTTTATAAACTCATAAATTGGGCCGTGGTAGGTTTAGGGGTTTCTGCGTTCAAAACTTTAGACCAAGACGTATCGTTCTGAATAAGCCCGAAATTGGAAATAAGCGGGCTGTCATTGCCTTTCATTTTCTTTTTTTTTTTCAAAATAAAAGTGTTTAATAGGGGCATTTGTTTTAATTTTTTAAAAATAATTATTAATTATTGATTTTAATTAAATAAATTAAATATTTTAAATTATAAATATAAAGTAGTATCAATCGTTATATATCAACTATTAACTATCAGTTATTTCAAAAAAACTAATCTAAACAATCTATAATATTTAAAATAACTCATTTTTAAGATAACACTCAAAATTCTTTTTTTTTTTTTGGCCTTTCTTTACATTTCCATCAAATGCTGCGAAAAATAGTTGGGTTTTTCTTACTCCCTCTATCCATTTTTCTGTTTATATAACTAACTTACAACTAAATCCATACATAATTTGGATAATACTACTTGGCAATTGAAATGTTTTAGTGTAAACACATTATTCTTTGTTAACTAGTTTCATTTGATAGAAAAAAAAAATTTAGTCATATGTTACATAAAATCATTAGCTCAAGTTGCATATAGAGTTAATCATATGAAAATAAAAAATAAAAAAAGGAAAGGAGTAAATAAATATTTTAAATTAATACAAAGCTAAATATTAATTTCATTTTAATAATTTGGGTTATTAACAGTTTTTTTTTCACCATATTACAAATGTAACTTGGAAATAAAAGGCTAAATTTGAACCACTTATGAAAATAAAATAGTAGAAGATAGAAATACAAGTTTCCCTATTTGACAAATCAAATTGCACTGACTGCAAAACAATAATAATTGAATTAGACACAGCCTTGAATATTAAGGTTGAAAATCAATGGCTGCCCTCCATCTTATTGAATATGAAAGATTCAGCCCCTCAACTTACAAGTCAAAGATTCTAGCCCCTCATTTTTTTGGTTTAAACAAAACAACTCAAAATAGAACACTAATAGTCACACATTTGAAATTACTTCTATATTCATTAATTAAATTTTAATTTCAATTGTAAATCAAAATACTATTATATTTAGTAATTACTAAAAATGTGTAGTACAAACAAATCATGC